TAACTGATTCACTAAATCTACTCCACAAGATCCTATAGTCCATCAAAATGGTTTCTATAAGTGGTGAAATTTTAGGACATTGGTAAAATTTTAAATAAGAACACTTATCTACCCTTGCCAATAAAGCACTGCGACAAGGAGACTCTGTCCTTAAGAATGAGTACTTCAACCAACACCATTTGGAGCTCTTAGGCTAGCTAACTAACCTGGCAGCCCAGCGCCACAACGCTTACCTAAGAATTCTTGAGCATGCATTTCCTCTCTTGCTCTGCTTGCCCTGTTCTTTTGTTGTCTGACATTGACCATGTTCCTGCTTTTCTTTCTGCCCTGCACTTCATTTGATATTCTACTGGTGCTTTCTTAGTATCTAGCCTCAGTCAACCCTCTGGATTTAGATATCTAAAAAAGTTTACCCAGTCTCAGTACTAAAAGACTTGAGAGATACACCCAAATAGGAATGGGCTGAAATGAGGACAAGAAACCTTCCTTGCTCTGGACTGAGAGAGTAGTTAGGTACTGTTCAACTTCCTTCTCATGTCGGCTTTCTTCCAGCAGCCTAAGTCCTGGGCCATCAAAAAAAATCATTACTTTAAAAAACAGAGATCTCCTTTCTATTTTAAGGTCTTAATATTTGCTGTTCTTTTGTTTAAAGCACCCTTTTCTCATCGCTTCTCATGGGTTCCTCTTTCCACTTCTTCAGGTCTCAACTCAGTGTTGCCGCACAGACCTCCCTTGACTGTCCAGCTGGAGTGAGCCCTTCCCAGTCATTCTCCATTACACTACTCTCTTTTATCTTCTTTCTAGCTTTTATTGAAGTTCAAGTCATTTGTTTTTATAGAAGTACTTACTTCCCTGTTTACTTACATATTTATTGTCTGTTTCCTCCCACTACCATGCAAGACCCTGAGGGCAGAAACTCTGCACCTTACCTTCAGGGCTGTGGCTGGGCTGCCTCAGAGCAGGCACTTAAATTGCAAATTGCAGATCCTATGGCTCCCAACCTCCAACAGGATATTGTTGAAAGAAAGAAACTGAGGTAAACAGATTCTGCTGTGAGGACCCCCACCCTCACATTGACTAGCTTTGGCTCTATTACAGTCTTGGCTGAAGGGGCTGCAACATCAGGGGATGCTCCAAATATACACCTACTTTAACCTGACTAAGCAACTAAAGCTGGAATTCTCACACATTTTACAGAGTGAACGGGGCCCTCCTTCGCTCTCTGGATGTTTTTCAGAATCCAGTGTTGGTGACGGAGTATGTCTTGCTTGCCATGATTTTGTTGTTGATGATTTTGTTTCTCCAACTGCTGAGGTTTAGGGAAACACAACTAGAATCTACAAAATTTGCTATATTTGAGATATTGATACAGGGTGCAGCCAGGGGGGCCCCCAAAAATAAAGATTTGGAATGGGGTCCAGAATTCAAAGTGTATAGGAATATTGGAGAGACATATAAGATGTCCTCACCACCACCCCCCCAGGGGGGAGGGACAATGGAGCAGGGCCATTGAGAGCTGTTTTGCATAGCAATAGTTTTGCAGCTAAACTCTAGAATGATTATTTAACATATCTATAACCTTTAACTGGTTTCATAGATATGTTAAATAGTAGTGGCCAAGTTTGGAGCCAGGGAGAAGGGAGTAGCAGGGACTCAGGATGGAACTAGGGGCTGCGTGGCTGAGTGAGGAGGCCTGTGTGAGAGCTTGGAAAAAGATGGGCTCCAGGACATGAGGGGATAACTGCCCAGGTGAAAGGGAAAACCATGCAGCTTTGCCAGAATGGAGGTCCCTGCAGCCAGGTGAAGAAGAAAGCCACATGCTTTTGGTGGAGTGTGAACCCCTGCAGCTTTGGTAGAAGAGGCCCACGCGGCTTTGGGGTGCCCCCTTTGGCTGCGTGGCCTGGAAAGCAAGAGAGACTTTGACTGGAACTGGGTACAAAGGACTCTTGCCAGTGGACCATGAGAGGTACCACAGTACTTTGGATTAACTCGAGATCCTGCACAGTGACACAGCTGATGATTCCAGCGGCCTGAAACACAGACGTGTGCTCTTTTCCTGATTTACGGTACCCGGAGTTGGGACAGTGGGAGAAGGGAGCGCTGTGTGAGTGTGGGTGTATACATAAAGGACTTTGCTATTTTAGTGGAGGGGTTACGCCTAAGTAGCATTAAATAAACATTTTGTTTCCTTTTCACAAATCTCTGGCATTGAGAGATGTCTTTCCAATTGGCGGTGGACAGAAGAGCCCAGTAGATATTAGTATTTTGTTTTGGGGAGGGGTCCCTGTTGTATAGCAGTTTTGGGCATCCCTAGGTGGGCCAAATATTGTATTGCCCCTCCCTCGGACCTCTTGTTCGGTAACAATACGATCTTATCCAACCCTTCAGTTCTAGTTCTTTTTTTCTTCTCTTTTTCTTTTCTACTTTCTTTTATTCTACATAATGATTTATAATGCAAAACCATGATTCACACAGAGTTTTAATGTCAATGGAAATCTAACTGTACCACTTGAAATTAATTCAAACTGCAGAAATATACAGTTAAAGTAACTGGCCAGGTAACATTGTTTTTTTTTTTTAATTTAAGGAAGATTTTATAATGGTTATTAGCTGATTTCAACCTTAAAAAAAGCTAGTTTGTTAATAAAGCAAGAAAGTTTTCAATAGCTTTGAAATATATTAATTTTTGATTTTTGAATCTCGAAATGTACCTTCTATTAAGCATGCACAGCTTTTTTGTGTTTGTTACAATGGACAATTAAAGGTTTCTGTAGTGGATGAAGAAGTGAATTGTGTCAGAGTTGTCTGTGCGTGTGCACACGCACACACTGACAACTGGGCTTTCTGTGAGTGGCCAGCAGGTTCACTTGCTGCCTGGCATGTTAATAACAATAGCAATGGCAATGGCAACAAAACTGGCCAAAGATATTTTACAAATGAAAACACTAGCCCTTGGCCAGTAAACAGCAGAGCTGAAGTTCATACACATGCTGTTCACGATCTTCTCCACACATCGGTCAAGCCATAATTAACTTTCCATCCTTGTGGAGCAAGACTCAAATGGAAAAGGTTTATTAAAAAATAATGCAGATGTGGAGTTTATACACATCTGAAGGTTAAGCTTCTTCCAACTCTTGGAATTCAGCAACCAAAGCACTTTGAAACTAATTGATCATATAGTGCCAGAAGCCTATTAGGAGTGGAAAGAGAGCCCAGAGCTATTCTCAATGAATGTAGACCAATTGGCCATTAGCGAAATTTAACCAAAAAAGTTGTGACTGCCATCATTTCTAAAAATCACAACTGAATGTACTGGTGGAGGTGAATGAGTGAATGATCAAAGTGATGCCAAGTAGTTTCCATTCAAACCACAGAGACTGCACAACATTCCACTTATCATTGCCTGGAAATGAGTGATAAGCCTCCCCCATTATGCAAAACACCTCAAGCTCCTGCTTCCCTCCCCAAATTCACACATGTACTGTGTATTGCCTTTTCTATTAAAAAATTATTTTGCTTTTAAAGACATTGTATTAGAATTGGGGTGTTTCAAACTGACTTATGGGTCATTCAATTTAGTCACAACCAAAGCTTCACAAAAAGGTGTGTACACTCATGCTAATAGCACTTGAAAAAAAGTGGGGGGGGGCTGGAGGGGGGAGTTCCTTCATTAAGCCTATCCATAACCATTCCAACCTGCCAAGCTGGTTTTGACCTTGAACAATTGAAAATGGATGCATCACTGAGCACATTAAAAGGCAAAGAAATGTAGATACCACAGGTTCACACTTCAGTTTTAATGCTGAGTGGCACTGTATGAATTTGCAATAATGTAAATCATGCTTGATGGATTATTTCCAAATTAAAACTGGAACCAGTGTCACCACATTCATTGTCTTCAGTTACAGTGTTCTGATGTAGAAGTCATTTAGTACTTCACGACTCCCAATAACACACAACAGAAAAGCCATTAGTTTAAAAAGCCAAGATTTGTTTTTATTCTAAATGTAACTCAGAAGAGAAAAAACCCACAAATTTATTCCTTTTATAGTACTGTGTTCTATTTTGGCATCCACATTTTGAAAAGGGGTAAAAACAAACTGAATACGAGTGAAGAAAAATGTTGCTAAGAAAACAAAAGACAATATGCTATGCCCAGTTAAAGGGTTCAGGTATTTTAAAGATACTATAGAGGCAAAATTGTCCTGATGTCTGCCTGGCCTTGACCTATGGCACCCAGCACTTCTGTCTTAATATTCATCATTCTCAGTTGCTTCCCCTTTCTAACTGTTCTCTCTATCAAACTATTAGCTACAGGAGAAGGTCAAGAACCCTGTCTCTCCTACTTATCTTTCTATCCACTGCAAGTACAAGATGTCGGCAACTTTATATTGTTTCATGAATGACTGATTAACTAAAGAAATGACTGTGACTGTGTGTGCCCCAACAAGGAGAATTAACTACAATATCTATTTTGACTCAGTAAGAGGTTAAATATTTTCTAATAGAACCATTATGATCTTTAAGATGCTTGCAAATTCAGGCCTTATGATTATAACATAGACCCTTCCAAATTTGGGTGATAATTTAAACTAAAATTATCAGTATTCTTTTCTGTGATTGGAAATACATAGGCAACTTTTCAAATCAAAGATGTTCAGCTTTCACTTACTTTCTATTTGACTTTACATTTATCTTGCTTCAGTTGAATTAAAGATAATATGGTACCTGGTTTATCATAAATTATTTTACTTCTTCTATTTACCGTGTTTTTCTTCAAAATGTCTGGGTTTAAGAGTTGACTTAATAGATCCAAAATAGTATTCCTTACTTAAAAAAAAAAGACCTTAATGTTTTGGCCATAGGCAGGAGCAAAATATACCAATGGAAATTAATAAAGTTCATTCACCCTCACATCACTATATTCAATCATAGAAAATAATCACTATACTTTATAAAACCAGGGTCTTCTTTTAATCACATGTTGGTAAGGTACTTACCACAAAAGAATAATAGATCTTGAATCCAGGTTTAGCCACAAAGTAGTCATCAGACTTAAATGTTATTTTAATTTGGTTTGTTCTTGATGTTATCCTCGGAGGAACTTCCTTGTGTCCACACCAGCGTCCTCTAATAATGGTACTGGTTTCGGATATGTCTTCAACTTCCACAAAATCATACCTAGTGTTAATGTAACAAAAATAAACAAATGCTGATTAAGGTAGACTTTGAAATTCTTACCTTCATCAAGAATGTAAAACTACGTATGTGATTTTTTTATCACATACATCTGGTATGTAGCCTACCAGATGAAATGAAAATTATAAGCTACGTTTTATTTTTTAAATTATATTTTATTGATTGTGCTGTTGCAGTTGTCCCAATATTTCCCCCTTACTCTCCCACTTAGCACCTGCCATTCCCTCAGGCAATTCTGACCTCTTTGTTCATGTCCAGGGGTCATGGGTATAAGTTGCTTGGCTACTCCATTTCCCGTCCTGTTCTCTAGATCCCTATGGCTATTCTGTGACTACCAATTTATACTTCTTAATTCCCTTACCTCTTCACCCATACTCCCAAACCCCCTCCCATCTAGCAGCCATAAAAATGCTCTCCGTACCTACAATTCTGTCTCTGTTCTTCTTGTTTGCTTAGTTTGTTTTTTAGATTCAATTTTTGATAGACATATATTTATTGACATTTTAATGTTCATAGTTTTGAACTTCTTTTTCTTAAATAAGTTCTTTTAACATTTCATATAATAATGGTTTGGTGGTGATGAACTCCTTCATTTTGGCTTTTCTGGTAAGCTCTTTATTTGGTCTTTGATTCTAAATGATAGCTTTGCTGGATAGAGTAATCCTGGCTGTAGGTCCCTGCTTCCATGACTGAATATTTCTTGTCAATCCCTTCTAGCCTACAAGGTTTCTTTTGAGAAATCAGCTGGCAGCCTAATGAGAACTCTTCTGTAGATACCTCACTGTTCTTCTCCTGCTGTTTTTAAGATTCTCTCTTTATCTTTAATCTTTGGCATTTTAATTGTGATGTGTTTTGGTGTGGGCCTGTTTGCATTCATCTTGTTTGGGACTCTGTGCTTCCCAGACTTGTATATTTATTTCCTTCACCAAATTAGGGAAGTTTACTTCCATTATTTTTCAAATAGATTTCCAATTACTTGCTCTTTCTCTTCTCCTTCTGGCACCCCTATGATGTGAATGTTGGAATGCTTGAAGTTGTCCCAGAGTCTCCTTACACTATCCTCTTTTTTTTAAATTCTTTTTTCTTCTTGTTGTTGTGATTTGCAGTTTTTTGTTTCCCAATGTTCCATATTCTTGCTTTGATTCTTGACTTTATCTATTCTGCTTTTAATTTGCTATAAATTGTTCTTTATTTTAATTAGTATATCCTTTATTTCTGCCTGGGTCTCATATGCTGTTGAGGTACTCACTAAGTTCTTTGATCATCTTTATAACCATTGTTTTGAATTTTGTATCTGATATATTGCTCATCTCCATTTGTTTAATTTTTTCTGGATTTTTGATCTGTTCTATATTTGGGTTGTGTTTCTTTGTCTCCTCACATTTCCAGACTCCCTGTATCTGTTTCTATGTATTAGGTAGAGCTGCTATCACTTCTTGTCTTGGTATCATGGCCTAATGTAGTAAGGTGTCTTATAGGGTCCAGTGGCACAGACTCTCATATCACAAAGCAGGGTACCAGACATTTCCTCCCTCCAGGCTGAGTACACCTTCCTCTTGTAGTTGAGCCTTGATGGCTGCTGGCAGGTCAATGGGAAGGATTTAGCCAGGCCAGTCAGCTTCAAGGACTGGCTGTGACCACTGACCATCAACCTCCACCCTTTGTGGAGGATCAGCTGTGCAGCAGTAGATGGTTGTGCTCTGATGCAGTCTGTAGCTGTCCACTGGGTACACAGTCTCTGGGGTATCCCATGTGGTGCAGGTCAGGGTCAGCTTTCACCTATGTTCCACCTGGGCCCATTCAACATGAGCTACAAAGCAATCTGTGTATGACTGAGACTTGTGCTGGGATTGGAGGTCCCTAGGAGAACCAAACCGTGATCCAAAGCTGGCTGCTCTTAGGGGGGGCCTAGGGCCACTCAGCCAGAGGCATGGTGGCTGGGAGCTCTCTGAGGCCAGTCATTGCTTATTTGAAGAGATTTGAGAAGATATGAAGTCTGTGTTGAGACCAGAGATTCATCTGGAAATGTCACTGTTAACAGCTTGGGTTGGCTGTAAGTTGGGTGGGGCAGATTCTCAGGGATTCCCCAGGGTGGAGTAAACTTTGTGAGCCACGTTGATGGAGTCTCAGATAATGGCTCCAGCCTGCCAGCTCTGCGGCTCTGTGTGGGAGGGGCTCAGAAAAGGAACAATGGTCTCTACCCATCTTTCTGTATGGGAGAAAGCTGTCCCCCAGCTCTCACCCTGATGACAGACACTTCAGTTCCTCCCATTATCACTAACACCCTGTAATTTGCTGCCCTGGTGCAGGAGCTCAGAGGGAGTGAGTCTATGTGAGTCCATGTTTGGGCCCTATAAGGGGAACTGCTTGGGACTCTAATGGGTCCTTTCACCAATTCAAAGTGGCTGGGTTTTGTAGCTAGAAGTTATGGGGGCTTGTCTCCCTGGCACTGGGATTGGCATTGAAACCCTGGACTTGGGGGAGGGGAGCTGGTGTAGACCTGGGACCTCTCGCTCCACAGATACCTGTCCTAAATTTTTTATCTACCATAAGTGTGTTTGAGGTCAGCCCGCTCGGCATCTCAGCATCTCTACATCTCCACAGACCTACCAGTCTGGATGGATGCAGTTTCTTTAGTTCTATAGTTGTTAGACTATCATTCAACTCGATTTCTGACTTTTTTTGAGGGATGGTTGTTCTGTAGTTTAGTTGTAATCTTGATGTGGTTGTGCAAGGAGGTGAGCCATGTTTACTGCTGCCTCCATCTTGACTACTCGGGGGCTCCCCTGGCTGTGTGCTCAGCAGCACCTGCTGGAAAACTGACATCAGCCACGACAGTCACCATGGGTCCTGGGGGCTGGCTATGCTACAGACATTTCTAAAGTGAAGCTAGTGTTTGGATTAGGTTTTCCAAATCTGAACCTCCACAATCTGTTCTAAAAACACTTTCACACACATTTGCTATGACTGTTCCCATATCATTAATAATCAAAACAGGCCACTTTCTGAGCATCTGGTTTATAAGGCTTTCCTGAAAAAACTAATAGCTATAATCTATCATCATATTTGAGGAGATGTAGCTCTAATTATATGCCCAAATATTTATTATATAAAGTTTTTCAAACAAATTCTTATTTTGGTTTAATTTACCACGCTCCATACTTTCTTTAAAAAAGAAGATGTGAGCCCTGGCTGGTGTAGCTCCGTGGATTGAGCTCGGGCCTGCAAACCATAGGATCGCGGTTCGGTTCCCAGTCAGGGTACATGTCTGGGTTGCAGGCCAGTTCCCAGCAGGGGACTCACAAGATGCAAGCATACGTTGATATTTCTCTCCTTCTCTCCTTCCCTTTCTCTCTAAAGATAAATGAATAAAATTTTTAAAAAAAGGAAGATCTGTGTCTATACAGCATATAGAATCAGCACTTCATCACATGAAATAAATAACTAACTCCTCTTTTTGGAAACTGTCTTTTAAAGGGATAATATCATAAAATATGACTTTTATCATATTGGAAAACATATGAATTGAGTAGAGATGTTTGTTAACCACTACTATAAATATCTGGGCTGGTTAAACCAGGTGTGGATGACTTAAGACTAATCATCCTGGCTGACACCCTGAACCTGTCTCCAAGGGCCTTCGTTTTGCCTCTGTACTTTTTCCTGGGTCCACACAGTCTGGCTGCCTCACTTGTTCTCCATCTGTGACTTTTCTGCTACAATTGCCAAAAGGAATCAGTATGAGAAACATCACATCTAAATATAAAAAAAATGTCGTATGGCTTTACCGGTCCTACCCATGCACCTCAGAGCTCTTGTTGGGTTGGGCAGGTTAATCTAAGGAGGTAAATATAATAATATGGGTATTAAATTTTGTCGACAGTGATTTATGAGATCTTTATGTCCTTTGCCTCAGTTTCCTTATGAGCAGTATAAGAAGGTTTAATCAATTTTCCCAGCTGGTTATCTTTTGGGTGCTGTATAAACTACTTACTTAACATTTCTATGGTGCTTGGAAGGTGAAAAACACTCACAGAGAATCATTACTCAAGCAATAAAATATTACAGTGTAAACATCAAGGAGGCTTTGGAACAGATGGTAGAAAATCAATTGCATTTCATTTTATATACAATACATGCAAATCATACTGCACAAAGCCAGGGTATACTTGAAATTTTGTTCATAACTCAATCAGTCACCTTTGCTTTTTAAAAAACACATCGTCAGTGTAACTCCGACTCTGAGTTCGATGTCAAGAGCGCACCATTTTGTTTCTTGGGGAGAGTTCGGAGGCAAGTCTCTGACCTGTGTCTTTCCCTTCTTCCTCTCCTCTTTCCACCTCTCGGTCTTCTACCTCTCTTCATACATTTTGAAAACCAGGTAGATTTGATGTAGGGCCAAGAACATCCTAATCTCCTCTTCTGTTTTAAGGCCAGCATGCCAAAAGAGCTCACTCACTACCGGAATCAAAAACCCTGCTCAGTAGTGAAAACCTGGCTTCTCCATCCCATGCCATCACCTATCACTACCTTTTAATAGTGTTGCGGTTTTTTCCCCACAATCTCTTTTTTTCCAGAACAGAAAATTAGTTCTCTCTTTCAAGGTTGAAGAGGCACAAGATCTGCTCTAAGTTTATTCTCTTTGTAAATACTGATTTGCTCCTCCTGCATATATTTGTATGTTTTCTGGCATACATTACCCTTTATGGTTCTGGAAAGTAATAGTCACTACTGTTATTCTTGAAAAAACTAGCAAGATAATCAAAGCTGTCAGCATAAAGGACATTGTCAGCATTGTCTGCATTGTCTGCAATGAAGGACAGTCAAATTTGAGGCACTCTCTTTTTATTATTCAAGGGAAAATAAACCTGCTGAAAGGATTTAGCAGTTCGGTAGTTCATTGACAATGCAGAAAAAGTGTGTGCAGTTAAGTAGAGAAAAGAAAAAAAATCCTCCCCAAGTCTTATACATGCTAATTAAATGAATAAGATGCTGTGAACAGAGAATTCAGAAAACAACAGCCAGGGTCCTCTCTGATCAATATGCTAAAAAGGGAGATCATCAGACACGGTTTTCATCTTCTAAGGTGACTGAGAAACCACAGGGAACTGACAATCTGGGCAGCACACAGACCCTTGGGTTGCCTTACCTTCCCCCTTACACATACCCGAGGCCTTAAAACTATGATTTAGGGGTAAGGCCCTAACACCATAAGTCCTCACTATCATCCTCTCCGAGTGGGGTCTGGGGAAACCATTACTGCTATGCATAGGTTGCAATAGTCTGGATTAGTTCCGGGAGCCAAGCAGGGTGCACACTCTTTAAGCCCAAGGTGGATTTAGACCAGAGCCACTAGTCTTGCTGCAGGTGATCTAGGATGTTGAATGCATCCACCTGCCCACAGAAACTGCTCTAGGCCTGGCCAAGACAGAGGCCTCCAGATTCCCTCTTTCCCTGGGGGTCATGCAGCCTGGCTCTGACAGGTGTGAAAGTGAGCTTCTGTCAGTCACAGCTGTCTCTGCTCCAGTTTATACGGTCTGATAGGACCGACATGAGGCTTTTCGAGAACTAAGTGGTGCATTTTGAGTAGGTCCAAAGGGGCCAAAGGGCAGTTTAATATGATGTTTTTAAATTCACCTTTTTCTCACCTTGGAAGCATTCTCTAACATGGATTTATTTCTTCACTTACCGACAGATATCATTTTCTGCTTCTTCTAATCCAAACTGATTGTCAAAGGCTAGCTGTATCCTCGTTTTCTCCTGGGAATGGAGCCGCCACGTCAGGAGCAGGTTCCTGGGGTAGCTGTTTGGGAACCGGGGACTCTGCACATGGCCATTTCCTGTCACCTGGATGGTTTCGTCTCTTCGGTACAAGTCTGTGAGGTGATTGCTCTCTGTTAGTAGTCACAACTTGTAGAAATTAGTATGTTGCTCCAATTACAGGAAAGCAAAAAAAGAACAGTTTAAAACATATCACATTTCAAAGCACTTCTCCATTTTCTTTAAAAACAAGACCAAATGGTAGCCTTCTGATTAAACAAACAACATATATATTTCTTCTATTACCCCCCACATTCCCAATTTCCTTATAAATCCAGACTAGATGCCAAATATTTTCGATTTGTGGGGCTCTCTTAACATCATGCTGGATAAGAAAAATTAAGTTATCTCAGAAGTCAGGTTCATTTCAACTGGAATTAAAATAAAATAATTTCAAATAGTTATCCTTCCTCTTTTCAATGTAATACGAGAATTTTTTACAGCGACAGGGTAATAGCATATCTTCATTGAGTAGCACAGGAGGTAGATAGCTCATAAATATTGCTGAATGGATGAGCGAGTGAGTGGAAAACAAATTTTAAATGATCTAGTAGCAGACACAGGCTCTCCCTTCTGGGAGCACATTCGTCCTTTCCCTTCCCCCTCTCCGTCCCCCACAGGCGTGCATCTCCTAAACTCTAGGGACCCCATGAGACTTGTAACCCGGGGAGCAGTGGTCAGCAGCATCTCCCCCTGGGCTAACCCCCCAGAAGCTGTCCAAGGCTGCCTTTCCTCTGACTTCCCAGCGAGCTAACAGCAGCCCCGCTTTGGCTCATTTCTTTCCCATTACGTCTCTAGGGAGCCAAAGAAGCCCCACCTGGTCTCTCTCCAGTTGCTTCTTCTATCTGAAGGCCTCCATTGTTTCACTGTCCCCAGCTTTAATGAAGATTCTCTTTCAAAAAAAAGTTTAATAGTGTTTGATGACCAATATATTTTATATTCAAGTGATATTTTTCAGTGGTTTCTTCATCATAAAAGTTATAATTCTTTGACTTAGTTTTTCATGACTTAAAATAAGTCCATTTCATACTCTCCTTTCTGTGTTGTATAATAAAGAATTTGTCTGGTTTTTCTTTAGGTTCCTGAGAGGGAACTGCTAAACACTTACAATTTTGCAAGTAATGGAAGTGTTCTGCCCGGCTGGTGTGGCTCAGTGGATTCAGTGCCAGTCTGCGAACCAAAGGGTCACCGGTTTGATTCCCAGTCAGGATACATGCCTGGGTTGCAGGCCAGGTCCCCAGTAGGGGGCACATAAGAGGCAACCACAGATTGATGTTTCTCTCCCTCTCTTCCCCTCCCTAAAAATAAATAAAATCTTTTAACCCCCCCCTAAAATAATAAAAAAAGAAGTGTTCTTTTTCATGATAGACCCCTAGGACCATATCTGAATTTATGCTAATGAGGTGATCTACTGGGGATCCCTAAGTGGTTGCAGAATGGGCTTTGGCCACAACCGAAAGACCAACATGTGATAAGAGAGTTTGGGCTTTGAGCCTTCATATTGACCTGACTTCCCAACATCCCTGGAGGTAAGGAGCACTGGAGATTGAGTCCAATCGCATTGCTTATGATTCAATCAACACTGCCTACAGCATGAAACCCACTAAAAACTCTGGTCGCTGGGGCTTGGGTAAGCTTCTTGGTCGGTGATGCTCACTGATGTGCTGGGAAGGTGACCTGTCCTGAGGAAACAAAAGCTTCATGTTTGGGACCCTCCCAAGACTTGCTTGTCACCTGCGTTTATTTGGCTGCTTCTGATCTGTACCCTGTTTAGTCAGACTATAATTTTAACTACAGTGCTTTTTAAGTTCTGTGAGTTGTTGTAGTGTGAATGAAAAGAAAGGGAATTCTATAGAAAGTGACCTTGCAGAATGACACAATTATAAATTTCTACATGGACAAGTCATGGTGGGTAGCCAGACCCCAGACACATAACTTGTTAGTAAAAAGTTTATCTTCACCTCAAGCAAGGCCTGTTCATTGTGTCTGCATACCTAGGTTAACGTACTTTTGACACAAGCCAAAACCACCCTCAAAAAAGCACATATTCTCAGTAAATACCCAATAATACAATTCCCTCACTTGCTTTCTCCCACATCCAAGTAATTATCCCTTAAGTTTCTTCTTTAATTCTGAATGCAGAAAAGAAGCTGCAAAATGTCATTCCCAGAGCATTTGAGAGCTTGCTCCCGGCATGTCTTGAGTTTGGCTCAAATACACTTCTACAAAATTCTCTACAGGTTTGCACATTCCCTACAACAACACTAACAAAATTCTCAAGCCTGAGGGGCTTGTAGGAAACCCTGAGTTTGTAGCCAGTTAGTCAGAAGTGTGGGTGGTCTGGGAACCCCCGAACTTACAGCTGGTATCTGCAGAGCAATCTTGCAGGGACTGTGCCCTTAACTTGTGAAATGACCTAGTTCTAGCTAGCTTATATCAGAATTACATTGCACAGTGAATCCATTTTTCACTTCTTAATATCCAGAGTTCTTTGCACTTGAGATTTTGGCTTCTTGTCTTCTTTGGCTTCTTTGGCTTCTTTAGCTTGTCCCTCACCACCCGCTGCCCCAAACAGATCTCCAGCCACAGTCTATTTCTGTTCCCCTGCAGAAAATTTACTTTGGGGCCTATAATTCAGCGAGCCTGGTCAGGAAGACCGAAATTGCTGGTGGAAACCACTGAAAGTTGGGCTGCTCAGGGTGGCTCTTAAAGTTTCCAAAATAAGAGAAGAGGAATGAACAATGAATCAGCATGTGAACAGTGAAGTCTTCTCTCTCTTTCACGAATGTTCTGGTGCATAATGAGAATTTCACCTTTTTTTTTTGACTCATTCTGTGTTTAAAGTGTTGCACTTGCCCACTTAAACTTTGCGTGGGAGAGAGAGTCCTAGGAAGAGTGAAAATGGCTAAAGGAAGTCCACCCTCCCTGCCACAGACGAGGGCGCTGGCTCTGCAGGCCACCAGCTCCAGGGGGCTCAGCTAAAGACAGCCTCATCGGTGCCAGGAACAGTTTCCCCAGTTGACCTTTTCCTCTTCTCTTCCCTTGACCTTATGCTGAAAATGTAGCCATGAAACTTCCTTGTCTGCTCATTTAGTAAATGCGTGAAAGCTGTTTGCCAGGGGAGACGGCTGTGCGCTACCAACCAGTCAGTCAAATAATTAAGCATAGACTGTAACGGATGCATTGCACTATTTTCAACTCTTCTATATCTTGATTATTACTTTCAGATTTGTGCCATATTTTCTTACCTCCAGTACTATTTACTTGCAAATTCTCTAATCAAAAGCAAATCTAAAATAAAACGTTATCAATTATGTAAAAAGCAACTGACTGCCTGGTGCCATGAGTAGAAGACAACCAAAAATCTAAAAATATAACTATTAAAATTTAAAATGTCTCATCTCATGTGTTCAGATTTCTCATTTGTAAAATAACAAGATTGAGAAGCACATTTTTCTCTTTGGTCTCTTTCAGGGGTAATATTCAGTGTTTTTATTTTATTGTATTTTTATTTAATTTTATACATTCAAATATAATTTAAGACTGTTTACAAAGCACATGCCTTTAAAGACATGAAAAACAAAGTTGATGTGCACCACCCCGTGTGAACAAGGCACAAAGTAATACAGGTGCTGAGGGTACGTGCAACATTGATCCCCAGCAGGGAGGGCGGCAGGGTTAGCACGGTGAGTACAAGGTGTGTGCACGGGACCACCAACCAGTCAGAGGAGCCGAGCAGTGTCCAAGTGGGCTGTGTGTGGGGAGGGGGGGAGCTGCGTGCTTTAAAGGCAAACTACGGAAATAGCTGGAAGTCGGGCAACTGTGTCTGCACTTGATATAAGTGGAAACAAGAAAGGTCTGGAAAGGCTCAAAGGCTTGTTGAAAGGAATATTATTAGCTTTTCGGTGCTGTGAAAGGCGAACTGGAAGGAGAGCACCTGCGGTGGGACTGTGTCTGAGGGCGGTCGTCTCCCCCGATCTGCAGGGGGTGTTTCCCAGGGCCCCCAGGGGGTGCCCGAAGTGGGGCAGTACAGAACCCACACACACATGCCTATGGTAAAGTTTAATTTATAAATTAGGCACAGTAAGAGATTAACAACAATAACTGATAATAAAATAGAATAATTGCAATCATATACCATAGTAAAAGTGATACAAATGTGGTCGCTGGTTTTAGGGGATCCCTTGCTGAAGTCTCTTTATAGATTCAATGCTTTCTGGTGCAATATGTTGCCATTGATTGAAGCACTTTTCTGTTCAGGTCTTTCGCCCATGAATTTAATGCTTTTTAAAATTTTAACTAAGTACTTACCACATACGATGGCTGTAACTTTTGCAGTTTGAGGTACAACAGCAAAACCAGCACAAATTTCTTTCTCCTTCTTACAGTTTCACAGAAATAAGGTTTGTTCTTACTGTAGGTCTTAGCAATCTCAGTACATGACTTCTTTTCTGTCCTTTCTAAGTTGAGAACTTTAACCTTTCACTTAAAGAAAGCACTTTACAGCTGTTTTTTGGCATATCCAAATCACCAGCATCTGCACTCTTGTACTGTGGGGTCATTATGAAGTAAAGTAAGGGTGACTTGACCAACAGCACTGTGAGACCTAGAGTTGATCTGATAGCCCCGATGCCTGCTACCTGACTGGCGGGTGGGGAGCAGATTACAGCTTGTAGATGGTGGCCGAAAGGATGAGTCACATCCTGGGTGGGACGGAGTGGGACACCAGAGATTTCACCATGATACTCAGAATGGCATGCAATCTAAAACATATGCCTTAATTGTTTACTTCTGGAATTTTCCTTTTACTATTTTGGTACCAAAGTTGCCCTTGGTAACTGAAGTTGTAGAAAGCAAAATCTCAGATAAGAAGAAAGGATGTAGTTGCTGGAGAAGAAGATTCTCACCTAGAAGGGCAGGTAGCAGTAAGTCCCAACCAGGGAAAAGAAATTCAGAGGAACGTGGAGTTCAGAAAGAAACCCATGGGATGAGCCGAATGTAGGAGCAACACGCTTATCCAAGGGTCTTGGTGCAGTGTGGTGACACGGACACACAGCGGCATGGGGAGGGTAAT